AGCCAAGCAAGTGGCTCAGGGACAGAAATACAAGTCCTGCACAATCTCCTTATACATGCAATCTTAAAAAGTGGCACTCACAAAAATAAGACATAAAATGGTGGTTACAGCCAGGCGTGGTGGCGCATGCCTATAATCCCAGCACTTGGGAGGCTGAGGAGGAGGATCGTTGTGAGTTCAAAGCCTCCCTACGCTGCAAAGTGAGTTTAAGGCCACCATAAGTTACATAATGAAACCTTGTCTCAAAAAAAAGACAAAAAATAAAATAAATGAAATAAAATGGCAGTTATGAGGGGCTGGGATGGAAAGAAGGAGGTGCTGGTCAGAGGGTACAAAGTTGTAGTTATGAGGAATATGAGGAATACTTTCCAAGATCTGTTGTACAGAACAGTGACTATCTAATAACAACATATTACGTACTTAAAACTTGCTAAGAGAGTAGATTTTAAATGTTGATGCCACCAAGAAAATGAGAAATATGTGCAATGATGGATATGTTGATTAGCTGGATGCAGCAATGTCCTAATGAGCATTAAAACATACACTCTAAATATCCATAATTATTATTGGTCAGTTAACAATTTTTAAAAACGCAGTCATTGATTTTATTCGGAAATCTACAATCTGGACAATTCTCAGTGCGCACCCATCTTCTCCAAGCCTGTGACATCAGCCGTCAGCTGGGTGTGTCCTCTGAGGACTGAAATCTGATGCAGCTCTCACGCAGGGCTGCCAAGAGGTGTGCACAGCTGGGAACCTGACCCACATAGCCCTGTCTTTATCTACAGTCACCCCCAGATTTACTAAAGATAAGTAGTACAAACGACTTACCTGAAACTTCTTCAAGCGTGTGTCCTACTCTCAACTGATGACACTTCAGAGAACATTGAGAACAATTTCTCTGATGCTGGGATTGTTTCCTGTACAACTACCAGAAGCTGGGGAATACATCTGTTACTTAGGTCTTGTACATGCCTGAGTCTTACAGGGAAAGTTGCCTGAATTTCACAGATACCCTCTAGTCACATCTCCTCACTGGAACAAGAAAAAATACTTTAATAACCGCAAAAAAATGAGGAGGAAAACATGCAGACAAATCTTGTATCTCTGACAAAGAATAAAAAGATAGTGGAAACCAGTTTTTCTCAATCTTCTTATTCATGACTGACGGTGGCTCTGCTGGTGGCTTTGTAGAAGGTTGTCACCCCGTGAGTCCGGGAGGTGGCTCCTCATCAGCACTGAGCCAACCAGAGTCTCCAGAGGGTTTTTATCACCAAGTCCTGATTTCCAAAATGCTTTGACACTTCAAGCCATGGAAGAGGCTGGAGTGCCAGCACTCATCTTCTTCCAGGGACACCTGCCAAACAAGGAAGGGGTGGGCACTGAGGTCCTCAACTGTCCTCCAGCTGCTGAGACAAGTGTGGGTCACCCCGCACCACTGAGCATGTGCCATGGCTGGCCAGTAGCATACGAACAGAAGAGGAAATGATTAAAAATACACACGAAGACAGCTGAAAGGCGAATTTCCCCTTCCCTGTTTCTGCTAAAAGCATCAGACGTGAGTCAGGACACATTTGGGTTCTGATGCAGTTGTATCTTTGCTTGTGCTTTATTATCTCCCTGGTAAAAGCATTCAAGTCCTCAGCCTCAACAAGAGGCACCATTCCCAACCATGCCACTGGACAACAGCTGAAGTGTTTCTCAAATACTGGAAGATTTGAGGTCAGTCTGAAAAGCAGGCACTCACCTTTTCTCCGCTGCCTTCCACTGGTGTCACTCACTCACTGAAACGGGTGTGTGGCAAGGCACCTGGAGAGCAAGCTCGCCCTCCCCCCAGGGAAGCACTCTGAGCTCTTCTCTTCCTCCACTTCTCCCCATCTCGATGAGTGTGCCCTGCCTGCCCCTTGGTTTATAGACGATGCCTGCCTCCTGATGCTCCTCCTAGGTTGCCCTTGCTTCCTCAGGCCTCTCACAGCTTCTCCTCACCCTCGGCCCCGTTCCCGCTCCTTCCTCATGTTCTCAGTGGCCTTCTCCTGGCTCCTGGCCTTAGATGGTCCTTGCTCCCTTCTGTCCCTGCGAAGGGTGAGGCAGTGGTGTAGTAGCAAAAGCCATAGTGATTAGAGTAAGAGCTCCAGTTGCTGAAATAGTAGCCTGAGCAGTGTTTGTGGCATGGCAGTAAGGTTCTCAACCTCAACTGCGGTAGAAGCAAGCCTTCTGAAACCTTTCCCTGGCCGCAGGCTGGCCCTTTCTCGTGGCATCCTTCACACTGCTGCCAGCACAGTTCTTCCAAAGTAGAAATTCCATCACACCACACCCCAGTCTCAGTCTTCTAACAGCCCCTGTTGCGTTGGGGATAACATCTAAATTCTTCGTATATGGTTTCAGAGGTCTGGTACCATCCAGCCTTATTTACCTTGGCTTTCCCTGGTTCCCTTCACGGTCACCACCCCAGGCAACGTGCCATGTTATCTCTCATCCCTGTTCCTAGAATGTGCTTCTCCTTGGCTCTTGCTGAGCCCTGGCTTCCCTATGCCCTTCCAGAGGCAGCTGATGCTTCCCATTCAGGAAGGTAACCCAGTTTTCCAGGGCACACTAGGGGCACCCCACACACCATCACTCTCTCCCAGTACAGGGTAATAATAATTATTATTATTATTATAACTATTATTATTATTACCATTTTTCTGTTTGCAATTTTGGTGTCTCTCCTTCCCGAGTGCCTAGTAATCATTTGTAAACATGTTCGAAGTAGTAAGCTTTGAGGGAATAAATGGATAAATTATAGCTCAGTTATGGATGAGTGCACACACTGATTTCTTTTTCCTGTTCCAGCTTTCTTCACCCCTTAGGTCCCTCAGAGTCCAGCAAGGGAGACAGAAATGTACATAGATAATTCTAGTATAATTTCAGAGGGCTCACGGACCCCTTAGCCTCACCCAAGAATCCCACATTATCAATTAAACAATGAAGAAACAGACAGGTAGAGAGGGCAAATGAGAGAATATCATTATCTGACAACACCCAGTGTCAGAGCATTTCCTTTATAAGGTGATGAGCGCAGGGCCGCACCAGCCCTCCAGGCTGAATGTAACCCAGTAGCAGTGTCTTTGTGCAGAGGTCACCCACCTGGTTTCGCATCCATCGAATCACAGGCCTGGGGAGGAACTCAGTGACATCTCCGTGATAATTCTCTGCTTTATTTTGCTCTATCAACCTCATAATCTTCTTTTGAAATATTCTCTCCTGGCCTTCTATTCTTCTGAAGTTTGCCCACATATGGCCTCAAGTGTCTCCATTCCTGAGTGCTCTGTGGTCCATCATTTCCCAGCCCGGCTTTCCCTCTGCCCCACCTTTCGGTTCTGTTTCGACACCTCATTTCAGCATCTGTCCACGGCTCCATTTGCCACCTTCTCTCATCACACGCCCTTTTTGGCCTCATCACCCCTCCCTCTATCCTGGATCAGGCCATCCATAGGATGAGGTTGTACCTTCTACCTACCAGCATCTCCTCAGCAGCTCTTAATCTGGTCTCGCTGCTATACAGCCTCATCCTGGCTGTAACCGCCAGCTTCTCCGAAATGGATTTGCCAAAATCAACACGGACTTCAGATCTATGGCCTTTGGTACGTAAGCAAGTCCATTATAGCCACACACAGCATCGGGCTCAGGGTTTCGACACCGCTTTTCTCTTTGCAAGTGGCGTACAAGCTAACTGGCTCAAATGATTACAGCTGTAGCTTTCAAGTATCTTGTGAACTGCTGCACTCCTTATTAAATAAAATCTTAGTGCTAACAACTAACACTTAAAATGCTGACTTGCTCTGGCTGATGTGGGAGTGGAATGCCCACTTTGCCTTTCATTCCCAAAGCCCTCAGGGATTCGCAGAGTCCCATGGTTTGAAGGCCATCCTGAAACCCAAGTGGAAAGGACAATGTCACTGAGCCAGATCTGACAGTTGGCCACACAATACCCCAGAAAGCAGGGTGACTTTGTGCTATGTGGACACGGCTTGGAGAAGGGCTACCAGGTTCACCGCCCTCCTCCCCCTTCACCTGCTGAAGCTCACTGCACAATTTACTTAACTTCTCTGTTGAGTTTTCTCAGCACTTACTGATGATAAGAGTTCCTCTCCCTTTGTTAAGAAGATAAAATGAGTTCATAAAGGAGAGGCCTTGGCAGAATGCTTGGTGGACCCAGAGATGCAGTAGATAAATGTTTGCTACTATTACCTTCCCAAATTACCCACGATTTCCAAGAGGAGCTTGGGGACAAAGGGTGAGGGACCTAGAACAGAATATTCACTGTGGTCAGCAGCCACTACTGTCCTCCTCATACACAAGGCCCCACAGACTATCCCTTTGCAAACTATGTCTTGTAATGCATGAAGAGGTACCTTAGTGCCCTAAAAGGAGACACTGGGTTTATCCAGCTGAGTGCTTGGCTCTACGAAGGAGTTTATTTCCCAAGGTTTACCACAGATTTAGGTCAAGTGAAAGGTTATACACAACGAACAGCTTTGCAGTGGAAACGGACTGAAGCATTTGATTAGACTTGTAAATCTATGGTTAATTGGGAGTTCAGCATTGCAACTCTAGGAAATAGGTTAGTAGGCATGTTTGTATATTCCTGAATCTGTCCGCTGTTTATAGCTACAAACATATGCCATTAATTTATGACTTTCCTTCTACAGGCTTCACCAGGGTAAACACAAATAAAGAGATTAGTTATTAAACCCAGAAGGAATTTGAGAGCATGACATAAAATTTTAAAAGGTTATATACTGGGGAAAAATAATGTAAGAAGTTAAGGCAACAGAAAATTAGCTGCTAAATCTTTGGAATAATGCATTTTTACAGGTTGTTTTTAATAATCCTCACCATACTGTACTTTAATCTGTGATTCTCCAAGCTAAGCTAAGTAACTCCCAAAGGAAGCAGGGCAAAGGCCTTTCTAAGCAGTCTAAATAGGTTTTTCCAACAACAACAACAACAAAGCCAAGTCTTTTCTTCCCTGAGTTTGTATTTTCTTTATTACTTTTGCTCCCCAAACCCACAGGGAATGAGGAGTGCAGATACTGACTCTTTCCTGTCTACTTTCCCTGCGAAAATCTGGAATGAGATTGGAACTTTGGTTCTTAAGAATCAGCCCAAACAGGACTATTTTCCAGCCAGCACAGGAAATGCAGGAAGGGCTTTGTCTGCATATTCCAGCTCCTGCCCTTAGAGTGGAAGGAATTGGTGATGCTATTCACAATCCCTTATCCTCGGTTCAAAAATCTGAAAAGGCTCACAATCAAAATGTTTTCATATATTGGGCACAAAAACTCTTTTGGTGGCAAAATCTGATCTTTTGACCAGGAAGCTCTGTGTAGGTCTTACTGATCTCAGTTCCCATGACGATACATATACATTTTGCAGTAGAAATGTGAATGTATTTGTTTATAGAGTACTGACCCAGACTCCATTAGAAATATTATATCTGTAATATAGATCATTTGACCTTTCCAAATCTGAAAGATTCTGATTTCCCAAACCTAGCTGGCCCCCTGGGTTTAGACCTAGAACAGCGGGATGGTCCTACGTGTTGTGAGGTACGAAGATGTCTGAAAAGAAAGGACTCCAATTCTGGCTCTGTAAAAGGAAAGCGACTTTGGGTCCGGATGGGAGGAGTGCTTCAGGTGGCTGGGAACTCAGAGGGAGCTGTGGGCAGCACTGTCTGTCTCAGGATGAGGAGCAGGGCACCAGGACAGTGAGTGACAAGAATCAGTCACCAGCCACACTTCCTGGCTGCCTGCCATACTGCCTGAGGCCAGTCTAAGCACACAGCAGAGGGCTGTGCCACACTGGTCCCACTGGAATTCTTATCTCAGACCCACTCCAGAAGTCTCAGCTACATCTTTCTTCATTTTCACTCTTTCACATCATCTCTCGACTCTAAACAGTTCTTCCTCTATTCCTTCCTATCCCACATTAACTGCCACTTAAAATTCACGTGTAAGGTGCTTGGAAAGAGTAAAATGAATTTGTTCCGATTTTACTTTGCTGGGAGCGGGGCTGGGGGTTGAACTGAGGGCCTCACCTTGAGCTACGTCCCAGCCTTTTTTAATCTTTTGTTTTGAGACAGGGTCTCACTAAGTTGCTCAGGTTAACCCCACACTTGCCTTCTCCTGTCTTGGCCTCATAAGTAGCTGGGATTACAGGCACATGGTACCGCACCTGGCCTTACCTGCTTTTTTTTTTATTGTGATTTCAGACTACCCAGGTTCAAGTCATGGCTTTGCAACTTCCTAGCTATGTGAATACAGGCAAGTTCTTTCACCTCTTTGTGCCTCACTTTCCCTATCCATGAAATAAGGATAATTATACCCATCCCTGATAATTCTTGAGAGGATTTAATGAGCCAGTATTATGTGAATTACTTAGAACAGTGCTTGGGAAGCAGCCAGTGCCCCATAAATGTAAGCTATTATTTGTGCATGTCTTCTAAATGAGCTCCATATAGCAATGATAAGCCCTTTTTCCTTAAATAAGCAAGTTAAATAATCTAAATAAAAAGGAATTTAAAGTTTTGTGTAAATTCCTTAAAGCAAATTTCCTAAGATGTTTCCCTAATGACATTTTTTCTTCAATAATTATTTGCTACAGATAAAGATATAAAGGATCAAAAAAAAACCCAAATAAAATCTCAATCAAAACCTAAGGATGAAGTCACAATGTGCTTTCATGATACTGACAGCTCTAACATTCTGGTAGTATCCACTGTTCATCCCCTCCTCTGTCCTCCTCTTGAGAATTTGCTTTACAACCTAAAAGAGAAAATGAAAAGAGGGTAATGAATCTGTTTTCATGAGAAACCACTTTGAAGATATCAATATGTAATACAACAAGCATTGTTAATTTCCTACCACTTTGTAACTCTGTATTGTCTGTACTGTTCTTCTGCTATTTTGTAAAAGGTTGTCTGTCTGTTAATGTTTTCTTCCTTTTATTTTTAAAATTAAAACAAAAAGAAAAGAGAATAATTAAACATCTGATATACAAATTTGAAAATAAAACTATCAAGCCCTTGCAAGAGCTTGACAGTTTTATTTTGATAGCAGGAAAATCCTTCATAGCAGGAAAGTCTTTCATTATTATATGCACAGTTTTCTTTTCAGATTACCTGTAAATATTAATGTAAATAACATTAACTGGATGGTCCACTTAATAATGCACAGAGAAGTTAATTCTCCACTAATTGAAGTTGATTATTTAAGTTTTATGACAAGAAAAGAAATTTTCCCAAAGATACATCCTTCCCTGCTGCCCCTCACACTGTTCCCTCAGAGTCAGACCTTGGAGATGTCTCCAGACGTTGCCCCGGTCATCAAGAGGAAACCTGTCCGGGTTGGTATTGTGAGTCTCCCCACCAGTGGGTTCAGAACCTCCAGTTGTATTTTCACTGCCCTGGGTCCGAGGCTTTACGGGGGAGGGCTGCCGCCAGCTACCCAACATGCTCATCCACTCCTCTCTCGCTCCCTTCTCTGACTGTGGAATTAATGTTGGGGCTGATAAAACTTTTTTCCCAGGGTTAGCCCTAACCTAGACCAACCCATATCTGTCTCAGTCAAATTCACCTCCATCCTATTTTATTTATCAAAAAAGTATTTGCCAAAAAGAATGTCCGACCTAAGGAGGAAAAGAAATCACAGCTAAGTGGAGGTTTAAAGCCAAAGAGACTTGAGATTGAGAAACTGCCAGTTTGTGTTGCTCTCTTACTCATAGGAGGGCTTACAGCACCTGAAATCATGCCAGGGGTTTGAAAACGAAAGCCTGCAGGCAGAAAATGATGGCTCCTGACGGCAAGGATCAGTCATGTGATGGGCCGAGAGGTTCCGTCACTGCCTCCCTCAATCAGAGCTGGGAGACGGAGCTTAATCAGTCAGATAGCATCCACAGAGGCTTCGGGCCGCAGAAGCCAGCTGCAGCAATTAATCATTTAATTGCTTTCGGATTCACTTTCAATGTCTTTTAAAAAGATATTAAAGAAAAACATTATTGAAAGATATTTTAGACTATTTAATAAAGCTCCACTATCCCCGTTGTGAACCAGAAAATAAATGGATCTCGAGCCCAGCTCTGTTCAGTGCTTTCTTGGCCAACACTTACTTATACCAAGGAAGGCGTGACAGTCTCCTACTCCTGGCAGGAGAAACAGCGTGGATAAAAGCACTCAGGAAAGAAAGCACGGGTGAAAAGAGAAATGATTGCTTGTCTGAGTTTTTGGCTAAAGAGCAGGATGTGTGACCAGGACAGAGGAGAAAGCCTGGAAGCTAGCAGACTGCATCTCCGAGGCCCTGAGTGCCAGCATAAGAAGCCTGGACTCAACATGTTGGGCGCTGGAAGCTGTTGAAGTTTTCTGAGCAGAGAAAACAGCACGATTAGGAAATAGCATATACTGTGAGGTCCATCTGCTGTGGGTTTTAATTCTGGCTCGTTCCTCGTTATCTAGCATGACCTTGGGCAGACTGTGTTGCCTTGGGGAGTGTCCCGAGCTGTACAGTGGAAATAGCAATCCCATTTCCAGGGTTATGCAAACATTAGAAATAGCGCAGGAAGCACCATAACCCCAGGCCCTGGCATGGAAAAGGTACCTTTCAAACGTGTTAGCTGTTCTTCCTGCCGTGCTCTGGGGGAGACAGGCAAGAGGGCGAGAGAGGAGGAGGGAGAGAGTAGAGGTCCAGGACGAGGTGGGGAGGGTCTGGACTAGAGAGACAGCGGGCGAGGAGAGCGGCAGAGAGAAGACATGCGGACGCCGCAAGGCAGACCCCACGGAATGGAGCCTCAGGAAGATAAACCTGCCCAGAGCCTTCTGATAATGACGGGACATGAGCAAGGGCGGGGAAGCCACAGCAACTCCAAGAGTGGCTGAATAAGAGCCACACGAGACAGACACAAACATGTCAGAACATGCCAAACTGAGCCTGCATTTCTGGCATGACTGCAGCACTAACCCAAATTCTGCACTGGCTTTCACCGTGATCCAGCTGCATTGTTAGAGCTACCTCAGAGAACAGCTCTCGGGTCCGCAGAGTCGGTGTCTTGGCTTACGAAGTTACCCGGCAGTGTATGCCCGGCCTGTCTTTTTCCCAGAGCCTCGCACCGTGACTTGCCTCTTCCATCCGCTCCACCATGGACAGCCAGCCACAGCCAAGGTGTCTGCGACTAGCTGCTGTCCTCTCAGCACAAATAACTGCTGATGCGCTCCTGGGTGGTAGCAGCCTTCCCCACAAGATGTGTGTCTTGGATAATAGGTAGAGAAAGACCTGGCCTTTCAGAACAGGGGGGCAGCAACTAATAACTCATGGCCCCTGACATTTTCATTAGGTACTATGTTAGAAGTTTCTTCAGGAAGCAGCCTTAATAATTTTGCACCACTCTGGTCAGAGCGGATTAATATGACCTGTACTTCGGAGCCTCAGCCCCGTGGCTAGCACAGGTTTCCACCTCATCAGGGTCGGCCGTGGGTCCCAGCCCTGTCAGCTCCACAGAACTCACAAAGGAGTCAACCTGCAGCCGTCCCAGTCAGGCATGTGCCTGCCAGGACACACAGTGGAAACTTTATAGCACATATAAATGGACTTTAATATTGCAAGATACCTTTGGGGATGTATGTCTAAATTGCTAGGACATGCAGAAAGGCTGACAAGCCACTTTGTGCCTTTTTGGAGGCTGCCCTGGTGAAGCGCAGGACTGTGCTTCCTCCACTCACTGCCTTCCCCCTGGCCTGGCAGCAGTGCTGTCTCCTGAGCTCTTTCACCAGCCCTTGAGAAAGACTACCCAGGAATTTTGCTCTTTTATTCCTCTCCTCTTCTTTCACTAACATTATTTTGCTTTGAAAACACTAAACATCATGTTGTCTTTATTTCATCATTAATTTCAGGCCAATTATCCAAGTGTCACACTGACTCATCTCCAGCTAATGTTGTACTTGTGTAACTTGGCTGGCTGCAAAACACCAAAACTCAAAATGCAGTGTTTTATAGGTATTAAAATTGCCTCACACTTTACAAAGACAAGTGAGATTTGAGGAAGTGATGACAACATGAGGCCAAAGGTGGTTTAGAAGTCAACTCTGGCCTGGGAATATAACTCAGTGGCACAAGGTCCTGAGTTCAATTTCCAGTACCAAAAAAAAAAAGTCAACTCTTCATAGATGGAAAAGGGTTCCTTCAGGGTTTTTCACAGTAGTCTTTACCCAAAGGAAAAATATTCTTCTGTAGAGTGCAAGTCTTTCTCTGTATCCTACTTGCTCTTGTCTCACACAAGTGGAAACTGATATCTATGATTCAAGTTTGTACATTTTTATCTCTGTGTCACATAATATTAATGATAAAAATCTAATATTCATTGAATGCCACTATTTCTTCTTTGTCACCACTGCATGAAATAAGGTGATATTATTACTTTGATCTAACACATGAAGAAACTAAGCTTTAGAGAGTACACTAGGGTTCTCCAAAGAAAAAGAACCAGTTGAATAGAATATGATAGATAAATAATAGATAGGTAGATAGATAGATAGATAATAGATGAATAGGAGACTAAAGGGCAAGTCTTTGGTGTCCATGGTTATGGAGGTTGAGAAGTCCCATAATAAACTGCCTGTAAGGTGGAGACCCAGGAAAGTCAATGATATAGCTCGGTCCAAGTCTAAAGCCCTCAGAACCAGGAAAGCCAATAAGACAATTCTCAATCCAAATCCAAAGGCTAGAGGATCAAGGTACTGGTACAGTCCCAGAACCTGAAGGCTGGAGAACTTGGAGTTCTGATGTCCAAGGCAGGAGAAGCTCCAAAAGAAAGAGCAAATCAACCTTCCTCTGCCTTTTTACTCAATTTGGGCTCTCAATCGATTGGATGGTGCCAGCTCATGTTGAGTGAGGGCAAATCTTTCTTACCTAGTACACTGATTCACATACCATTCTCTTCTGGGAAGTCTTCACAGACACCCCCTGAAATCATGCTTAACCATCTCTCTAGGTATCCTTTAACCCACTCAAGTTGACACCTCAAAGTAACTACCATGGAGAAATTAGTTTCCAGCTAAGTTCAGACAGCTGGAAACCATGTAAATCAGAACTTGAACCCATATTTCTTTTATGTCAGATTCAGATTTTAAAATCATCATAACTTACTACAACAATGGCACAAATTATATTCCAGTGGCACTGACTAGAGACTTCTGCCTGATATCCACAATAAAAAGAGAGAAATAGCCTCAATACTTACTACTATGAATTTGACACTACACACTTATGAATGTATAATGACCTCTACTATTTCAGGGAAAAAAAGGAAAAAGCAGATCCACCCCATGATATTTATTGACTTCCTACTCTATAAAAGGCATATAGCTAATTAATCAGGGAATGGGGGAGAAGTGTCAAGAAGAGTTAGATGTGGTCCATTTCACAAGGCACCTACCATTTAGCTAGGTAGACAAGCCATAAAATTATGCAGTGTGTGCCCTTAAGATGATGGCAGAAAAGGCACTGCAAAGCTGGACAAGGTTAATTGGAAGATTAACAATATAGAATGAAAATGCTAGAGTGATTTGGGTGTGGGAGACTTCTCTCCAAACGTGAGTACTCAGGGAAGATGAGCAGAGAGATGGGGCTCAGGGTAGGAAATGAAGCAGGGGACCTTGACGAGGCTGGACATGGCTGGAAAGTGGAAAAACCTCCAGGAGAAGCGAGACTCTTTGGAGTAGGTAAAGATCAGTCTTGCAGTGGGCAAAGACCAAAGATCAGTGACAGACAGGGAAGGG